ATCCAAAAGTAGATCTGATAAGAGCAGTGCAAGCGTGCGATACAGAGCTCAGCGTGAAGAATTGTGCCCTTGCGGTCCCATCGAGCTCAATAAAAGCACGATAACAGTGAAAGCAAAACTTAACTTTGGAAATGTTCAAGTTTCTGTATGTAATACCGGAGTTTTCCCCCCAAAGATCAATGTCACCAAATAATCGCGATATGTGCCAAACCTCGACGGCACACTTGATTGTAACCGATAGAGAATAAAGGCTCTTTGTTTTAGAAGCATAAGAATAATCTTGGCCTAGTCCTTGTAATAACTAGGCGTGATCAAAGGATATCTGAACATTGTTGGTTCTGATAAGTTTGCCGTGGTTATGTAACTATGTCCTGATTGTCCCCAATGCACAGGATTGGTTGAAAACTGGACCTGTCCTGAAGCTAGCGTCATCAGTGGATGTGATAAAAAGCTGATGGGACAGGTGATCTTCCAAGTCAGAAATGATAGTTGCTCTGTTTACTAAGATACGAGGAAAATAAGAGATAACCCTGTTTCGGTATGTCTCATGGTTTATGAGTGATTATGAAACAACGATTCTGATTTTCGCATTAGAAGTGAACATAAGAACGGAACCACGAGTCTGTTACTGTGATCTTTACCATTGAGCACCGCCTAAAACTGGTGTCACTAGATGGTGAACTCAACCGTAATGTGGAATAAACTGCACGGCGTTTCAACGCCATTTACAGTGATGCACGGTCAACATCTCCATTATACATAGGAACGTTGATCGAAAATTTTCGACCAATAGGGACTGAGTACAACTCAAAAAGACCTGATAAAATACACTTCATTTAGCTGATTCCGTGTTCTCTCACTCTGTAAAGTAGCAGCATGATGACCTATCTGTCGGCCGTTGCCATTATATTGCCCAACAGCCATTATCAACTATATCAAACGCTCCAGTTTCATGTGGCAAATCAAACGATATTACACCTATGATGGTAAGAAATTACGCAGTGATTGAGTTATCACACATTTATTCCGAAAATAAGTAATCGATCACTGCGAAATGTTCGTAAACTCTTAAGAAACCAACATCGGTACCCGTCGATGGACACATCTACCTGAGAGAACCAAACAAATCGGTGGCCCGAATCCGGTAGACGCGACTGGAATGTGTTTGTGCTTACGTGCACACGTCCTATTGTGATATGGTCACAGTTAACACGACCGGTCTTAACCTCCCCGTCACACAGTCGAGTGCAGGAGGTTCTCGATCAACTAGCTGATTGATTAAGTAATCTCCGGGGGTACATTCACACAAGCACCGTAAGTCTTCCATAAGTTCGTTCTCGAGCCATCACCAATATGGCACTGTTTCCAAGCTTATGGGAGTAGTTGGCACGATCAAACATTCTAGATGGTGCTTTTCTCGCAATCTGAGGTGATGCGGCTCGATAAAACACATACCATGCATTCGCGGCCACATGATCATCACGAGCTTACGGCACCGATAAACGAACAGCCCTGCTTTCAGTCAGGGCAGTAAAAGTAACCGAAATGAATTGTGTTCTGCAGGCAAATGCTGATCATCTGAACAGACTACACCATCAGAGATCTTTCTTTGTATCAATTGTCGCGTCTTGATATCCGTCAAGTAGTAATGAAAGGTGAATGTTTGCCAGTGAACTGTCAAAAGTTCCCAAACCGAATAATTACCGGTCCGAACATCATTGTCTTATTTTGTTTACCTTTGTCGTACCATCCACACTTTTGCCCGGACTCATGATTTCTGATCCCTTACCTACATTTGAATGGAATGGATGACCGTCATCATTTATAGGGGGTCCTTCCTCTTCCTAGAAGTACTTTATTTGTCGTACGAATGAACCAAATAGATACGATATTATATAGTGGATTTAGTCGGGTACGGAACAAATGAAGTGTGAGCTGAAAATCTAGGAAACAATGTGCAGCTGCTTCAAATCGATTGATCGTATGTGGGCACTAAACACGATAGTTGTAGATATCTGCTAACCTTGCTGGTTCATTTTCAATCAGTTTAAGCTGGCTTCAATGATCTCACACAGAAAACTACTCTTTGATGCGTGTGAGCTATCATGGGTTGCTTGATCTATGAGCCCGTGTTAAGCTAAACTCTTTAAGTAGTGAGCATGATAGTCACATGGGATTCTATGGAATTTACTTTTTTAACGCCAAAAGTGCATTATGGAAAAGCTACTTGTTCGTCAAATTTATTTTCCATTTGGGAGAAATTTTCTAACGTTTTATGTAGTTTCTTTTCATGTTTTCAACTTTAACGAATGAGCCTTATCCAATAAACATAACGCGTTTTATGTTTGCATCATAGAAACTTAGATTCTGAGTAGCTCACAACTGCAACCGAATTCTCCTCGGTTCTTTTGGATTCCCGTAGAAAAAACCCAATGGGGAAAGTACTACGTCTGAGTAACAAAAATATCTTCAATAAAAACACGAAGTCACTTAACAAGGATATTTTTACCACAGGAGTCTCAACAATTTTAGTTTGCCGTATGATCTGCCTGATGCGCGTACCAGTAGACATTTTTCGGTATCACATGTCATCTTTGTTTCACATAGAACTATTTTTTCACCAATAAATAAGGCAAGAAGACAAATGCAAGGAAGGGCCCTCTGGGTAAGGCACACCAAAGTCCCGATCTATGGAAGTAGTCTTTGGCTTCTCTTCATCACAAAACATGTAGGAATTTCCACGTTATTGAAGCCCATCGGATATGGACATGGTTTGTTCACTCTCGATTTTGAACACTGAAAACCTTTTTCCGGTGGGTTCTTTATTTCGCTGATGACCTTGATTTATCAACACAGCAACATTTCATGAAAAAAATATCAAAACACTACTCTATCTTATTCAGCTGAAATGTAACTGCACATTGCATTTTAACTTGTCCGGTCGCCACTGATACTCCAGCCAAAGCGGGTCATGTCTCTGGAAAACGGCTTTGGCCAGTACTCCAGTTTCTTGCACTGAGGGCGCAGGTGTTCCTTCGGTATTGAGAACGCGTAAGGGCACTCCTCTTTCATGGGAGTAGTTCCAATGAAAGTCCCGTTTTTCGTGTTGTCTGGTTCAAGTTTTTCCTTAGTTCTCGAGAACGATAAAATTTCGAAACCGCGTGTTTCAAACTTTCATGGTTCATTCGAAACTCATTTATCGAAATGTCCATTATTTAAACAAAATGACCGAAATATTGTGTTACTTTATCTGCTGTCAATTATCGAGAAGCAGCAATTTCATTTGCACTTGTACCGGTGGGCCACGAACCTATGACTTTTGGGCGCATCTTTCACACAAGCACTTCATTCTGTTTTCATTATTCTTAGGTCATTCTGAAGGGGGCCACTTTTAACTAATTATAATATTTTCCTTAATGTTTTAAAGAGAAAAATTAATTATTTTTTATCTATTGGAAAAAGTGTATTTTTGCGTCTTTTGTTTTAATTTGTGAACTTGAGACCCGGTCGGAGTGCAACCTAAGAAAAGGCTATTTTCGGAGAGTTGAAAACCGATCAACCGAGGTACTGATACCTATTATTGAACGACGGGTGCAACCTGGAACAACAGTCTACAGCAATCAGTGAACTTCATATAGTTCCCAATGTTTAATGGGATATATACACGTATGTATTAATCATACAGGCTGTTATCTAAATCCAGCAACATATGTCCACACAAATAATGTGGATTCTTTTAGGGGTCTTATTAAACGGCGCTTGAAAAAGGGTACAGGATCTGTTGGTGACATTATTTGGGAACATTTAGATGAAGTGCAATATATAATAAGGTTTGACTCTTCTGTTTGAAATAATGACATTGGTAGTTATTTACGCGTGAAAACGGAAAGTAAAAATGCGATGCTAATTCAGATGACCTGGCTTTGGTTAAACAATTGAATCCAGCAATGGCCAGATGCAAGCATGACGGATCTGCTGTGTGCGCGAAGTTTTTATTTAGTGATATAAAATATCACCAACGTTTGTTTATAGTTTTAATCACTTTAATATACAGTCCACTTTTTTCTTTCTCTATACTATAATAGATGAATCCGCTCAGAAACTGTTGCCCATTCTGCATCGATATCAAATCGATTCAATGGTTTCCATGGCGGAACGCACCATGTCATTCAGATTGAACGATTCTAGTGCCCCAGGCTGTTTGCAAATTGCTGACCTGTACGGTTTGTCACGCCTTCGACAGGCCGCACTGGAATCCTGTGCCAGACTAGACGCAGCCAGACTGGCCCAAGTTTTTGGAGAGATATCGCTAAGTATGGAACTCCGGCAAGAAATCCTCAAGTAAGTTGGCTGTGATGATGCTTCTAAGTACATCCAATTAGTAGGTCTCTTTCTGCGTAATATATTTTCATTATGCTTTCCTCCGATATACGGATGCGCATGGGATAATATTCTGTTTGTCCTTTATTGCAGTATTTCATGTCATATGAGCAATAAAAAAAAACAAAGTTTCAACCTTTAACAGAGAACTGGTTAATTGATTCAGGAAATTTCGGATTACTCCTTGACCAACCTCAGATTTTATCTCTGTAAATTTAAAACGGGGTTTTAGGTATATATCCTTCTAGTTGCGATTCTCTTGATGCCCATTTGACTTCATTTGGGCAGTCACCGAATCCGACCTCCATCGGGCTTTGACTCAAGAATTCCATTGAACCATCAAACGACCATTCGTATATGACTTCTTGTCACTTACATTTTGATGAGTTAAAGTAGATCTGGGGAAAGCATTTCACCTAGGAACAATTGAATCAAGGAAAATCACAACTCAATCAGTTGTAACTAAAATTATATTACTTGAATTAGTGTTCTTCCTTTAACGCGGAAAATGATGTTTTGACTCCTCACGGTTCTCAAAATGATCATCCGATCATTTTATTTTCTCCTGTCTTTTCAGGAAGCGTGTTGAAATTCTTGAGCAATGCCTGATAGATATCCAAAAGAGCTTCTCGCACTCATGCACACGCGTCGAAAGTCGCATGGAGCGAGTGCCTGCGAATCACTGTTCCGAGCATAATCGACCTATGGCGGAAATTACGGTATCTCCCCCTACTCCAGCACCAGCTCCTGGAGGTCCAATTTCAACAAATGCGGATGCGAACACTGCCGAAACTCGTATGGATGTTGCTGCCAGCATACGACCCGCCGCTGTCGCTCTTGCTAACATAGATATGCGTCCTCTGGATGATCCCTCACGTCTGGGAACAGTGGGAACTGGCACCACGCCACCTCAGGCCCCAGCCCCGGAACAAACAGCTGTTTGCGAAAAATGTGCCGAACAACTGAAGTGTCATATTATTGAATTATGCAAGCGCGGCTTGCACAAGATACCCATTCTCATGTGTAAGAATAACTAGAGGCCAAACTTAGTTTGCACCCAAACAGAGCTGAAACCATGACTATGGGAAGAAATTCTGACATAGGATCGAGGAAAAATGGTATGCTGAAGCATTATAGACCATCAAAACCATTTTCGAGGCATTTGAACACAGATCATTCTTATACTCAACCTTAATATCATAAGCTGTACCTCGGAATCTAACGTTCCTCCTCTCTCTTAATCATGTACTCTACATCATCCTCCGGTTCATCATTCACCAAAACATGACTTGTTGGTACATTATATACATTTGTTTGCTACCAGATTACAAAGAAAAAGTGAAGCATGTGCCATACAACTACCTTGTTCGATGAGTTTTCACTACCCGGTCACTTTCTCCAAACTTCTGACGGGCTGCGTGAGCTTCTTAAAGACTGCACTCGTTAAAAGATGTGATAAAAGAACGTGTTGCTTAGATTATGTAATTGTCGACCTCAGTGGACCCACTGAATTTATTGTCGTATGCATACTAACTGCTCAATCGTTATTACATTTTAAGAATAATAATAAAGAACCGCGGGTTTTTGATGTTATAATCCCCAATATATCGCACCACGTTTCAATACCATCATATAAGTAATTTAAGTAACCGATAACAACTCTGTATCAACTGGAAATATATTGACAGGAGATTGAATCCTGGATAAATATTCCAGTTTGTGTCATTAGCGTCGTCCTGCCCTGCCGCACACAATCTCTGGTCTCTCACCAGTGCTCCCTGAGTACCTGCAAGATTCACTTCTGACGGTGGGCTCTGTGGGATGTTTCAAGCCGCATGAGCGATCTGGAAAATACAATCATAAAAGAACCGAAGGTTTATTGGGACATAAACGGATTAACAGTCAATCCCGAATGGTTGCAACTGCCTTAGTCACTGGATGAGGACACCCTACCAATGTATCTCGATAACACTATAATTAGCACTTCTCCAATGATACAAAACAGGATCATCATATCTCAGAGCGAGGTTTTCTTAAGTCTCCAGACGAAAGATTCCCACCTTGAGGCTGAGCTTGTGGAGGTGAAAGCATTACACGTAGGCCACCCGC